AAATAGACAAAAAATATCATATTATCAATATTTTAGCATTGCATATAATAAATATTATTTTTATTTTTTAGGATAAATTATTAAATATTTTTACTTGACTATGTAAGAACAAAAAAAAAATTATTTTATTATGATTTTAATGATTTTCATAATTGAACTATTAAAAATTATACTAAATTTGTTGAAGATATTTTTACGGGAGATTTTATCAATTACAAAAAACCGGAATTCCGGAAATAATTGAAATAATTGAGAAATTTAAACCCAAAAAATATGAAATGAATAAAAAAATAATAAAATAAAAAATTATTAAACAAATTATAAATCAAGGATTATTAAATGAAAATTAATCAAATGAACGAAACTTAAGTAAAATAATCAACAAGAAAATGAAATTATGAATTATATGAAAATATATGATAAAAACCCGGAAATGAAAATTTTAACCGAAAAACTAATATATGACGAAGCCCAACGATAAATATCAACAGAAGAGCGAAATCAAGATAAGAAACACCCTGTAAAAAAGTCGATCCGTTTTTTATATTCCGTCTTTTTTCCGTAAAAGGCTCATATTTCCGGAACTAATAACCTTATATCACGGAATTTATCGAATCATTTAAATTTTCCGTGAATGGATCCGTGAAAGGCTCATTTTTATGGAGTTTTTACAGAAATAACGGATAAAATTTTTTATAGGGACAAAGTAAGGTAGACAGAGCAAATTTATTACCAATTACTAAATTGAAAGGGCGGTTGCATTTTGTTATAATAAACAATCATCGCGTTAAACGGTTATGTAATAAGTTATGTAATAATATCTGAACCCCTTGGGTCTAGATTTTACGGGTGGTTTTCCCAAAAAGTAATTTTTTACTCGCTTGTGTTAATTAAATTTTACAAATAAAAATTTTGAATTTGTGACAATAAGTGACATTGCCAATGTCGTCATAATGACATCATATGTTAAGTAAATAATAATGCTTAATTAATTAATTTATTTTAATTTCGGCCGGAATTAAGATTATAATATATATGCAAATTAACCCCGACTTTATACCCTAATGGCCTAATGACAAATAAGTTATTAAATTATTATATATAATGTATTTTTACATTTTTTATAATTACATTAAAAGAACTATTTATAGCTTATGAATTATTCTTTTTTAATCATAAATTACATAAATTACTAAGCAAAAGTCATAAAAACTAAAGTTGAAATGACTATAAATAAACTCATTGAAACACCCCATATATTATGACTATTAAAACCGTGTAAAATTTTTGTAGAATCCGATGTTCCATCTTCTATCGCTGCTGCAGTATAAGCAACTTTTTTAACTACAAGTACAGTTGATGGAGGAACGTATGTAGCAAATGATGTAACCTCTCCTAAAGAATTAGTTGTTGTAACTGTTGTTGTAAAACCTGCAAAAAATAAAGTGACTGTTGTTGTAGATGTCGATGTCACTATTTTATTATTTTTTCCTGGATTTACTTGAGTTGGAGGTGGTGTTATCGTTTCTATTTCCTCTTGTGTAGATGTTTCAATCTTTGTAGGTCTGCAATTTTATAAAATTAATATCAACATTTTTTTAATGAGAAGAAACAAAATATGAATAGTTTATATACTTACATTCCTGGTGGCGCTTTGCATTTTTCATCATTAGGAGAAGCGCAAGTTGCAGTCGGATCGATTGTCTTTGTATTAATTGGTTTTAAAGATGATGATGGAGATGATGATCCCTTTGACTGTCCAGTATCCGTTGGAGATGATGCGGGAGGTATAGCGGGACCAGGACTTGATGGTAGATCAGGTGGGGTTCCAGGAGTTGAAGGTCCAGGTGTAGGAGGGGTTACAGGATTTTCAGTAGGCACTGGAACTGGTGTTCCAGGTGGTAGTTTTCCATCACCTGGTGGTGTTGGTGGGACTGGTAGCGGTGTTGGTGTTCCGGCATCACCGCCTTTAGGATTAGCACCACCACCATCACCACCTGGCGCTGGTGCTGGCGCAGGAGCAGGAGCAGGAGCTGGTGCTGGTGCTGGTGCTGGTGCTGGTACTGGTGTATCACCGCCCTTAGGATTATCATTACCACCACCACCTGGTGGTGTTTTTGGTCCATCGCCTCCAGCCGGTGGTGTTTTTGGTCCATCGCCTCCAGCCGGTGGTGTTTTTGGTCCATCGCCTCCTCCCGGTGGTGTTTTTGGACCATCGCCTCCAGCCGGTGGTGTTTTTGGTCCATCACCACCTGGTGGAGGGCCTTGTCTTTTTCGAAGAGTACTATCAATTGAATCTCCTAATTCATAAGTTGGAGAAGCAAAATTAATAGTAATAAATATCGTAACAATTACTATTATAACAAGCACTAGTGCTCTCTTATCATTAAATCTAACGTGTAACATTATTAAAAAAAAAAAAAAAATAATAATAATAATTTAACAAAGTGAAAAATTATTTTACTTTTTTATTTATTTTTTTTTTTTATTTTTTTTTGATAACGACGCAACCCGTTTATATATTTGATCTTGTATTAAAAATTCTAAACCATTTTTAAAATAAACATTTCAATAAACATAATTAAAAATAATTCCTAATTAATATAAAAAAGTGATTGCAAAATAATAGCGTGCAACATTTTGGTTTTATTTATATTGGGTTTAAAATTTTGTTTACTTAATTTGGAAAGGATGATAGATTTTGATTGTTGAACAAATTTAAACAAATTAAATTGGTTGTGAAACGATAATTTAAGGAGTCATACTAAAAAAAGGATTTTCATATAATTATATAATATTATATAAACGAAATTTCAATTTAAACAAGAAATTATTATTTTTTTATGTATAACAATTAATATGTGTTCGATCATTGTTCTATTTTTATAACAAATTTTTTTTTTTTATTTTATTTTTAAACTAAATTTTTGTAATTCTGATTTCATGAATCTTTACTTCTATTTAATAGAATATTCTTTTCCTTTATTTGGTATTACATAATGCGAACATTAAAAATTATTTCGTAAACATCAAAGTATATATATGTATATATTAATGTAAACAAGTAAAATAAGACGAAAAAAAAAGTTTCTTTTTTTTTGTTCTTTCACATATAATTTTAACAGGTGATTATGTCACGTGTTCTATTAAAACTTTATCCGAAAAAACGTTCCAAATAGAAAAAATATTTTTTAAAAATATCAAAGATATTCTTTCTCCTGATCGTTGTGATTGACATTAATGATGTCACACATTTATTTATAGTAATTATACTTCTATATAACACGACAATATGATAATACTACGATGATAATAATGTGATGCATCATACCACGAAAAATATCGACATGAGCAAAATTTGGCGCAATAGCATAAATTCGTACACGTCGATCAAAACATCATGAAAGACTAATATAGCATATTTTCCAATATATCAAATTCTCGCCAATAATAATGTAAAACAGAATTGCAATTTTGTTTGTACAGTTATTTTTATTTTTAAAAACAAGTGAAAAAAAAATATTACAATGGTATCGTTACCTACCTACGGTTTTATCACATCCATAGTTAAACTGTCGTTTGATTCATTTAATTTCGTCTCATTAAAATTTTCTAGTGGCCGCAACCTTTGACACATATCTTATTGAAAAATGATCATAAGTCATAACAATCTATAAAAAGTTAAAACCCATTCTATAATTAATCTCTCCTGATATGATTTAAACCAAATTTTGCAAAACACTCATTCCATATACAATCAAACCTCGATGTGCCGATACCCTATGTACCGATAATTGCATGTATCGATAAATTTTTCATCTCCAATTTCACAATTAATCAAAAAAATCTCATTGTACCGATACTTTTCTTTTGTCCCTTTATAATTGTATATGAGTTGTCACGGGACGGCGTAGCTGATCACTTGTATTTCGTATTGTGCTATCAATATTGTTTCCGTGTTATTCCGTATATCACAATTACGGAATAAAATTGTCGTTACACTACCATATCAGATATTATTTCTTCCTATAATGTTTATATACGAATTGTTGTTATTCAATAAATAATTCGTTAAAAATGGAACAATTTTGGCTCAGTGATGATATAATTGAACAAATAAAAGATATTAATTATCGAAAATTAACTGAAGAACAAGAATTGATTAAATTAAAAGAAGAATCAAAAGAATAGAGGTTTATGTGAAAAGTAATTATTTACTGGGGACAATGTTAATTTTCATCAAAACATCAAGATAGAAAAAGATGATAATCATTTATATTAATGAAATTGACACATTAATAATTCAACAGCGTTTGAGGAATTTACCATCATGATAGGTTAAATTACTGTGAGAAAAAAAGTGAAGAATAATATAATATTTATTGTTTTATTTTCTTTATTGCATTATCAAGCTAGAGTTAAAACTAGACGTAGTTATTTTTATCAAGGTACATTCAATAGAATTAATGTTAACCTAAACCAGATCAGATTACTAATTCTAAATGTCGGAGGGTAATAATAAAAAGATAGAGACTATTGAACAGCGTGAAATTCTGGGATGAGCGGTCATTTAATTGTCCAAAGCGTAGCGAAGGACTATACAGTAGAGTCTCCATCACGCCGCGTGAATGACCAATCAATTTTAAGATCAGGTGTAACACGTTATTATAGTTAGGTATCATGTGATTATAACGCTTCGACGGTTCCCGTTACCAGTTAAATCAAAACTATATGTGGACTCATATACAATTAAACCATAATAAACTATTACTTTATAATAATATAATAATAACTTAATTATAAATTCTTCCCATTATTTATGTTCTGCAAAAGCATTCTAAATTGCTACCTCTTTCGTGTAACTTATGTTTTTTATATTGAAAGATACGTTTCGTATACTGAGAGATAGTACATTTAGGTACGTTGCGGAATTAATGTGAGATGCGGAATTAAATTATTTTGGAAATTTAATGAAAAATTTTTCAAATCAAAAATTTTTTTTTAACAACTTAATAGTACTTTATGCAAAGAAATACATATTAATTAAAATTGCTATAATATGAGAACCAAAAAATTAACTTTGCATGGCCTTAAATATATTTTAAAATCTAAATATATTTTTTATTATAAATTTTTTTTTTATAGTTAATGATGATTTTCTCTGGAATAATGGTACTATGTAGATATATATAAATTGAATATTTTCATAAATAAAGCCCAATATTAAAATATTTACAAAAACTATTATTTAGTACATTAGTGTAGTTAAATATTGTCAGTTTGGATTTCAAGAAAATGTGTACATTTATTAATTTTCTTCCTTTAGCTGCTTAGAATCTTATGATCACAAAACCATGAAGAAAATTGTAAGGTAAAGCTTACAAATAAATGTGAAAAGAATGACAAATGGGCAAGTATTTTAATTCTTGAGAAAAAAATTTTTTCAGTTTAAAATATCCATTCCTCATGGAAGCAAGTATGGAATAGAGTTTTAAAGAGTATTTGATCACCTATAGAATCATCATAAATGAACAGAGGTACATTTGTGTTATATATAATTCTTCGTTCCACTTTGGACTAATAAAGTATGGTGTCATACAAAATAAGTAATATATTACTATAAAATGTGTACATAATTTTCTTTTATAAACCTGCACTTTGTATCAATTTAAATTAATACCATATATCATATTTGTTTTGATTTATTTACCATACAACTATTAAGATTATATTTTGTACCGATTGTTTAATTGCAGTATTATAATTAACCTTATTCTTTTTATACTTTTTATAATGTAAAGAATATTTACTGATAATACAACAATCTATATAATGAAAGTTACACATCTGATATGTCTCAAAATAATTTATCAAATCATATGAACTTCTAGCTACCGTAATAAAGGTATCACATAACAGTAATTTTTACATTAAACATAATTCCCTTGTTTATCAATACTTAATTATATAATCGAAATTATACATGTTGTCGCAACTTTCCGAAATTATGGCCGAATCCGAAAGTCCAAAACTTAGGTTCGAAACCTCAGCCGAAATTCGAAAATCAAGCCGAAATCCGAAATTGTGGTCGGAGTACGAAAATCTGGACGAAATCTTTATTACGTGGTCCGAAATATAATTTTTTTTTAATGGTGACTCTTAAGAGTCCGAAAGTTTTTGTAATTCCGGCCAACATTGTAGTGCCGGCCAGAATTATGCCCGCGTGACTTCGGATAAAAGTTTAGCCACCAGGTAAGAATGTTACACAAGGAAATTTGATGGAATTTTGTGTGTTACACAAATGTTACACAAACTTGTAATGGGGGCCGACATTCAATAATGCTAGCCAGAAAATTTCGGCTCAGTTTTCGACTTTCGACCAGAGTTTCGTTTCGGAATGATTGACCGAAGGTCGAATCCTGAAATGTATAATCGAAATATTGATGTTATAATATGATCAAATTTATTAATAAAAGAACAACTTTTAAATCTATTACAGTAGTCTTCAATCTTTCAGAAATGAATAATTAATAAATATGAGCCTGATCCTTACTATATTTCCATCAAATGTCCAAAATATCATTAATAAATATACTCAAAATAAAATAAGAATAAATTATATCTGTTACATTTTTCTATATATTAAATTTCATTTAAAGTAAAACGTGGTTGATTTTTTTCATCTATAAAATGAAAAAATGAAAAAATATTAGGTTAATTAACATTTAATAAATCAAAAAAATTATATGCAAAAATAATTACCTTTAGAATTAATAGTAAAATCTATTCTCAAGGAATCTATGTTGAAATATTAATTGTTAGAATTATAAAGCCAACTTAAACCATCATAGGAAACTAAATATGTTTACCTGAATATTCTATTCCATCATTATTATCAGCATTTTTTGGTTCTGGAAGATTTTTAAAATCTAAAAATCTATTGGTGTAAACTGCTTTAGGATGTGACGTATATGATATTGGTGGTTGAACTGAAAAAGATGACTTTTTATTGGCTTCATCCACTTTTCCAACTTGCTCATAAATTCTAGAACCTTTATATTCAAACTTATAATATAATTCATGATAAAATAACTTCTGTAATTCATCTGCTTTTGGTCGTTTTGAAGGATCTGCATCCCAACATTGATTAATAACGTCAAAAATCAATTGAGGAATATTATAATTGGACTTTGGCCTCAACCCCTGACAAATTTTCATTGCTAAGTATTCATCATGAGCTATATCATAATAAGGAGGGAGACCTGTACAAATTTCATATGCAATAATCCCAAATCCATAAATATCACTTGCTTGAGTGTATTTTCCTCGTAATACCTCAGGAGCCATATAGGGTACTACTCCATATATTTTTTCATTACTACATTGAGAAAATTCTACGTTTTCTGGTTGACATAATCCCAAATCAGTAATATAAGCACTATTATAAAAATTGCTTAATATATTTCCACAATGAAAATCATGATGAATTAATCCTTTACTGTGAATATCTTTAAGACCATATGCAATAACATGTATACCCCACATCTTTTGCTTCCAATTTAGTGAAATGAAGTTGTTATCTAAATGTTGTCTTAAATTACCATTTTTAAAATCCATCACCATCATAAATTTATTTGTTTTATCTTTAGTAATACCAAAACAACGAACTATCCAACTAGAATTATATACTAAAATATTTGATTCAACCTTATAAGAAATTATAGTTAGTTTAACATTTATAAAGTTGATGAAGATTCTTAAGAAAATATCTTACTTCTTTTAGAAAATTGGCCGTAATATCCTTTGAGTTATGTAAACATTTTAAAGCGACTTTCGTTTTAGGTTTTCTTCTCCATCGATTATTTTCATGATCCCAATTCCACATAGGGCCATCTTTCCAAACCGCTTTATAAGTGGTTCCAAACCCCCCCTCTGCTAAATATTCAACATCTTCAAACTTATCATAATCAATCCACTCTATGATTTTGTTTATATTTTTAGCATTTAATTGTGCTTTTTGAATAAATTTATCAATGTCATGATTTTCACTCGTCCAACATTGGAAATTTTGTTGAAAACGTTGTGATTCACATGACTGACAATAATTATAACTAGTTTTAGGCTGTTTACAATTTTCACATAAACCATTTTTTTTATAATGTTCCTTTAATTCTTCGTCAGTTATTAGTTTATCAATTAATGATTTTTGTTTTTCAGTCAATAATTGATGTGGAAAATCTTTTATTTGTTCATATACATAATCACTTAGTTTAATTTCATCCATTTTAATAAATAATTTATTAAACAAAAAACATATGTAAAAATTATGAAAAAATAATGAAAAAAAGAAAAATAAAAAAGTGGTGAAACGACTAGAACTTTATTTTATTTTGCAGTAACTTCAAGATCGGCAACAAAATTATCAAAAAAGACTAGTTAAAATACACAATAATCATGATCGGCAATTAAATTTATTCAATTTTGGAATTAGATTAAAATTAAGGAATTATATAATAATTTACTAGATCACATTTGTGTTACCAGTTACATGATCATATGACACAGGTAATCATCAGTTCTCTCTCAATATAATTACTACGCTCTTTAGCTGGTGTGTAAGTATTAAAAGAGAGATTTTACACTAGAATTTCTACAAGTATATAGTATATAGCAATTATTTTGCATTAGACACAACTTGTAGCTATTTTTTTTAATAGTTTATGAAAAATCTTGTTTAGATAACGAAAATATTCAAAAAAAAAAAAAAAAAAATTTTTCAAGTTATAGGTAAATTTGTGGAAGAGTTTAAGAGTTTTATTACATATTTTTTGACTTATTTTTCTTATATAAGAGCGGTTTCGATTTTAGTTGATTCTGCACCATACAGTTGATGAACGGCAAATTCCTCAAATCGGCGGATATGGACATCATTGAGTTGTAATGAATTACAAAAACATATTGAAGTTCAAAAGTTGATAGTGAAGTATATCTGAAAAAAAAATGATAAATAATGTCTGTGATCAAAAGATGGATCTATTGATTTCAAACATAGAAGATTTTGGACGATACCTTGAAAAATACATTTGAAATAGTAGGAGAGCAGACAAAAATTACGAAAGAAAAATTGGATCGTATGAAGAGCACAGAGACTCGGCTTAATCAGTTAGAGTGTCAAAAAGATCGAACAGAATTTCTAAGTGACTATAGATTGAGTTGGAGTGATTTAACAAAAAAATATGGGGAGAAAGAATTGCATGAAGCGGAGAGACTTGAGAGTAAATCTATTGAAAAATAATTTTCTATTAATATGGAATGTCAACTAACGATATCAAATTATTACGTGAATTGAAAGATGAAAGCAATAAACTATTTCATAATAATGAGCAGACCTTAACAGAGGCAGTAGAGTGACTAAACAATCCGCTTCCCAACAATGTGAGTAGTAAATACAAGGCTCTATTACAAAGAGCTCTTAAAGCAATTGATATTTGTCCAAACATATCTTCAATCTTTTCCGATCCACTTAGTGTTATCTTAACGGCACTGGGATTTTCATTATTTTTAGATCATCAAATGTTGTTTTATTCTTCCACTGAAGGACTTATAGTATTTTCATAATGATCTCCTTAATTTTACAAATATTTTTGTTTTACTCTATTTCAATCTTATAAAATTATATTGTAAATAATTATATAAACATGTATAATGGAATTAAAGATTATCTTCATAAGTGTTTTAAATGTGGGTCCACACTAAATAATATATGCATTGTCATAAATTTTAATAAGATTATTAAATTTTTATACCATGCGTAAAAATTAATAAGACTTTAAAATTTTATATATTTTTTACATCACCTGCATTTTGTGCAAGTGCGTAGAAAAAAACCCCAGTTTAATAAATCCTGTATTAAATAACCTTACAACCTTTTCAATGTAAAAATTAGAAATTCCAGTCCAGGTCTGGATTTCAAAAGGTGAGCTCTCACAGGACTACTCCAGTAGTTAACTTTTCGTATTTTTTTGTCATTATTTTCTACGATTGAAATGGAATGCTGTACTGCAGCTATTCTGATAGGTGGCAAATAAATTCTTATCATCAAAGTTACTTAGTAAGTAATAAAGGTTGATAAATTTTGTTATTTTAGTTTCGGACGTCTCCTTTCTCTAAATAGTAAATCGTAACCGTATTTTGGCTATTTTGCGGTGAGCACCCTTAACTTACGCATTATGGTTACAATATTAACGTACGAACTGACCGGAGTTAACGTTAACGCTATCACGTGCAAGTGCATAATTCCTAAACTCTCGTAGGATGTACTGTACGTAGAATATATTTTCTGATCGCAGTTTGGATGATATTCATCTCTATTTTGATTTATTTGATATCGGCTCATATATCTTATTTTTTGATCGTCTAGTTGAGATAGAATAATGTTTAAAAATGCAGTGTTATGAATTACGCGCGTTAAAATATTAATGATAGAATTTGAGGGTCATATTTCTTAATTCTTTTTTTTTCAAAACGGAATAAGCCTTCCTATCTGGGAAGATATTGAAAAAAAATATGGAAAAAATTCCTAAAAATTTAACAACTTCTTTTTTCATCATCCTACTTTTTTAAGCGGAATGATTGCGATTAGTACCTTTAACTTTACATATACTTCGTACACAATACATTAATTGTTTTATTTTAAAAAAATTATATTTTATTTTAGTTTAAATATCAACGCAAAATATATATAAACAATGATAAATATAATAAAATAAACACATTCGCTCAAAAAAAAAAAAATAAAATAAGTAAATAAAATAAATAAAAATTATCATTTGATTCATTTTCGAAATAAATGAAAATTTCTCACTTTAATTAGTTTATCTAACAACTTAAACTTAGTTAATAGCCAAACCTTATTTCATCTCAAAATATATCAAATTTCTTTAGTAAAAATTCTGAAATTCTATATCTTAAATATTGTCAGAAATAGTTCCGTTTACTGAATTTGAAGTTGCATTATAAGCGTTATTATTATCTGGATATATTTGAGAAGTAGGTTGAATTGTAGTTTCAATAAATTGTTGTGGAAGCTGATGGTCAGGAATACGAGATAAATTAATGCTATTATTTAAGAGTCGCGCATTTTCTAATAGATGTAATTCGGTATATGTAATGTAATAAATACGTGTATCATTTGGTAAAGGAAAGTAAAATTCAAATGTATCGTTTTGAAGTGTGGGAGTAAATTATTAATAATGAAGGTATTAGACATTCCTATGTTGTTAATGGAATCATTGTTTTTATTGTGTAAAGGTGCGGAGCTATTTTCAGTTTGATACATTGATAAATCAGAATATTTTTGAGTAGTTTGGTTATTTGAATTCATTTTCTATTTTCTAAATAAATTTTTTATTTTTTTTTATTGCTGATCTTTATATAAGAAATATACTCTATTCAGGACCAATGATCGTTCCCATATTTTAAAATTTCGTTGGCGTGATGTCACATGATAATTATCATGTGAATAGAGTTCTTGCTATGTCTGGTTAACACAATTTGTAGATTCCGTATGATGGAGCGGATTTTTTACAAATTTAAGCTTCATAAGTCTAACCACTTGTTTTACGGTAAGTGAATAAGAATGATAATAAGGTAAAAAACATAAATTAATGTAATTTACTTTACTATGCTTATTAGACAACGTTTTACTATTCGATTTGTAACTGAAAAATTATGAATTTATTTCTTTTCAAAGTCAATTAAATAATATTAAATTGGTTGTTTTGGTTACTTTATCATACATTTATACTATGGTTCGTTACTCGTAAGCGAAAAAGTTAATCTTTTTATTAAAAAAATTGGTTTAGTTATTTTTCATAGAATAAAAAAAGTTTATTATCATCATTATTTTTTCTTCTTAATAGAACGTTAATAATGTTAACTCATTACACTTACCGCTTGTTACCGGAACACTTCATATTGGCAAAATCTCATCCATTTAGATTATGGATAAATGTATCAGTGCATGGATTAAACATTCAATTCGCTATAATAAAAACATTTTTAAATCGCCATATTATAGCTGCTTCTTTTGTTATTTAAGTTTTATTATACAAATTTCATGCATTTTTGCCGCTTTTATAAATTATGCGATGTAAGTTAAACTTTTATTTTTTAAACATATAATATATAATTAATTTATTTATTTTTTTGTTTTGTTTACTTATTTTTTTTCATCTTATTAAGAATTTCACATTGGGTATATATATGGGTTTATGGATTTTACAAAAGGATCAATATATATAATATATGTTATATTGGATTAAATATAGGATGCCATAATCTTCTTTATAATGCATGTACTAGTAAGTAACCTAGGAAGAAGATTTGGTCGTTGTGATACCGATAATGATATAAAAATAATGATGAATTTATTTCTTCCCTTCCGATTTGATTCAAAAAAAAATTTGTATTGTACAGATATTCCTAGAATAAATTTCTTAATTTTTTAATTCGTTCTGACCCATCCAAATTAATCCTTATTAAATTAATTTTTAAAGACCAATGCATTGTGGAGTAAAATTATGAATACCCTTATACGTGCCATGATTAAAAATGCAGGACGTATAAATACCCCAAGAATTTTTGTTGTGTTCCTTCATTATCTATGTTGTCTCTTTTATAAGACTTAGACAAATAATTTAAATGACGAAAACTCAAATAATAATCCTAACAGTAACTCTAACAATAACAACCTAATAATAACAATAACATTAATAAGAATCCTTACAATGGTAACAATGATGAAAATGATATAGATTCAAGAAGTATTTATGTAAACAATAATTCTCATTTCACTCCATTAGAAAAACAAATTGCTTCATTATTTCATGAATAGAGTCATCAGTAACAATATTATGTAGACAAACTTTAACTATTACACCAACTTCAACAAACCAAAGTGTCTTTAATAACTTTGGATTTAATCATACTAAGGGAGCTCCTAAAGCTTCAAATTTCTGAAATACAACAATCTTTATCATCAAACTTATATTTCCACAAAGTGGTCATGAACATATAGAAATCGCAAAAGTTAAAGATGGTACTAGTAAAGCAATATTTGCTGATAATTATTCACTTAATCATATTGTACCAGTTAAAGAAAATAATCTATTTATGAATGAAATTTCGTATAATATAAATATTGATGCATATTGCAAAATGATAATTTATCTAAAATGAATGAAATCACCTGGAAATTTGATTATCATAATGGAGATAAATAGTAAGATTATCGGTTGAAACATTTGATAATAATGTAAGAGTACAATGGTTTATTAAACTATTTACCTACTATGAAAACGTAGGCATGTAGTAAATGTGGTTAAAGGCTATACTCAATTCGTTAAAACTGAATATGGTTTTATATTAAAGGGTTCGTTTGAGTGGTGGCGAAAAAAAGTCATGTTAATATAACTGATATGGAAAAAAGTTCAATCATTTAGACAAGATTGGAATAATAAATTAGCCAGGGATAAGGTCCGATATTATTGTTGATTCTTTACCGGAACTATCTATTTCGGATGATGAATTGAATACTTCAAAAGAATCATAAAGTTTTATCTGTTGATAATACAATGCAAGCAATGAAAGAATTTTTTATGCCCATTCTTAAGGTATACCAGATTATTTTAACGCATTATTGGAATCGAAATGATTGAATCCCAAAATATATCACCCACTTTAACTGACAGTGATATCACTTACGAAACTTTAGAAATTATTCTTAATTATATGCAATGAATTTACGAGCATAAATCTATATAAATGACGAAAGTGTTTGTATATGTTAAGAATTTAAATAATAAAGGAAGTGCCATAATTTAACGATTAAAGGATATTTCTATTATAGCGAATAATAAGTTAATTCTGTTCATTGATACATTAATCCACCATTTAAATGGACTTAATTCTTCACATTTATTTATATTTTAATAAGAATATCCGATAAGGTAACGCTATTTTTATTTAATTTTCTAGTGTAACAATTAGCTAATTGAGTATTCCAAAAAAAAATATTCCATTTTTAAATTAATAAATTGTTTAATTTTTATGAAAGAATGATTATTAATTTTTATATTATCTAATAATTTTTATGATTATATATTTGTTAGTCAAATTGTTTTATGACATAATTCTACGGCAATTCGAAGATGATCTTATTTTTTATTAATAAATAAAAAAAAGTATAAAAAGATCTTTGATATGATAGGTGGTAAGTGGGCCTCGGTATTTAAATTACAGCATTAAGAAACGAACAAAATGAATAAAGTGTAACTGTTAATGTTAACGTTAACATTAACATATTAAATATTAACAATAAAATTTGTTCTCGTCGGCTTTCCTTTTTCGGATGCAGATCATTATTTCGTTTGCTTACATAATACATTTATTATGTTTCAAAATTGACTTTTCCTTTTTTAATGCATTGTACCCCTCCAACGGCCAACCTTTAGTGTTTTCAATGATAAGGGTAGCTTTAAAAGCTAAATTTAATTGCCGATCAGATTATTGTGTTTCTTCTGTGTATTTTAACTAGTCTTTTTTGATAATTTTGTTGCCGATCTTGAAATCATTGCAATATAAAATAACGTTTCACCACTTTTTTTTCATTTCCTATATTTTTTAGTAATTTTTACATACGAATTAATAACATATTTTTTTGATAAATTATTTATTAAAATGGATGAAATTAAACTAACTGATGATGTATTTGAACAAATAAAAGAGTTCAATCGTTATGATTTGACTGAAAAACAAAAATCGTTAATTGATAAACTAATAACAAATGAAGAATTAAAAGAACGTTATAAAAAAAATGGTTTATGTAAAAATTGTAAGCAGCCTAAAACTACTTATAGTTATTGTCAGTCATGTAAATCACAATATTTTAAACAAAATTTCAAAAATTGGACAAGTGGAAATCATGACGTTGATGAATTTATTCAAAAAGTACAATTAAATGCTAAAAATGAAAACCAAATCATAGAGTGGATTGAATATGATAAATTTGAAGATGTTGAATATTTAGCAAAAGGGGGATTTGGAACTACCTTTAAAGCAGTTTGGAAAGATGGTCCTTGGAAAATTAATTATGGCAATGAACAATTGGAAAGAGATGGTGAAACAAAAGTCGCTTTAAAGTGCTTACATAATTCCCAAGATATTACAGCAGATTTTTTAAAAGAAGTAAGATACTTTCTTATAAATCTACATTAACCTTTATAATTTCTAAACTAACTACAATTTTCTCTTAAGGTTGAATCAAATATTTTAGCTATTGAATCATATTATAGTCGTTATGTAGTACGTTGTTTTGGTATTACCAAAGATCCAAAAACAAATAATTTTATGATGGTGATGGATTTAAAAGAGGGTAACTTAAGACAACATTTAAATAACAACTTCATTTCACTGAATTGGGAGCGAAAGTTGTGGAGTTTATATAGTATTGCATCTGGTCTTAAAGATATTCATAATCAAGGATTAATTCATCATGATTTTCATTGTGGGAATATATTAAGCGATTTTGGTAATGCTTGTATTACTGATTTGGGATTATGCCAACCAGCAAATGTCAAACCCTCTCAAAATAGCAATAAAAAAATATATGGAGTATTACCTTATGTAGCTCCAGAAGTTTTAAGAGGAAACGAATATACTCAAAAAAGTGATATTTATGGATATGGGATCATTGCATATGAAATTTGTACAGGTTTCCCTCCTTATCATGATATACCTCATGATGAATTCTTAGCAATGAAAATTTGTAATGGGTTGAGGCCAAAATCTAATTATAAAATACCTCAATTAATTCTTGACATTATTAATCAATGTTGGGACGCAGACCCATTAAAACGACCTAAAGCATATGAATTAGAAGATTTATTTACTATATTGTGGTCTGCTTGCGATAGTTCTGATTCTTTAATCAGTGAGCAAGCTAAAGAAGCAGATGAAATTAACAAAAAGTCATCTTCAACAGATCAGTCAACATTATTATCTACTAGTACACTCTCATATATAACACATCCTCAAGCAGTTTACACAAGTAGACTTTTAGATTATAAAAATCTTCCAGAACCAAAAAATTCTAACAATGATGATTCAGAATATTCAGGTAGTAATTTTTAATTCAAATAATTATTTAAATATATTTAGAGTAATAATTATTCATTTATTTTACAGATTCCTTAAGAATGGATTTTACTAAACTTGATATTAATTCTAAAGGTAATTACTTTTGCATGTGATTTTTTTGATTTATCAAATTGGATTTAACAATTTTTCTATTATAGATGAAAGAAATTAAACTCATTTTACTTTAAATGAAAATATTTAAAATATAAAATACCTATAATTTATCCATTTTATTTTTATTTTTTTATTTTATTGTGAATTTGATGAGAGATCAAGGATAATGTTATAATGTTATTCTAGGAATTATAGTCATGTCCGAAAAAAATTAAAGGTTAACATTATAATAAAATTTAAAGTTATTTTTTTTTATTTATGAATAAATAAGTCACTAATACTTCAATAATTATATAAATAAGTATCACGAACTAAGTTTACTGTAAAAAATTACTTCTAGTGTGTGTGTCTTACTGTAATAAAGGCATCACTGAGAAGTCCATATATTAATTATGACTTGATAAATCATTTCGAGATATACTATATGTATTATGTTATCGTATAAATTGTGGATGAGAATGAAAATTATTTTTTGTAAATATTCTTTACATAATAGGAAGTATAAAAAGAGGGTAAAATATTTTAAAGTTAATAATCACTTTCAAAAATTTGATCATTTTACACAGTGAAATTCGATATATAATGGAACTCCGGAACTGGCCTTATACCGGAACTTTTCCGGAACCAAATTATATATATTAAAATAACTTTGATATAACGAAATTTATTGGTAAAATCTCGATAATGACTATAACGGAACAAATAACAAATCAGTTATAAAAATGATTCGATTTACCGGAACAAGTGACGATTCACGATTTTAAACCAAATAAAATTAGCAGCAAGTGTGACCTTTTAGAAATTTTAGTGGAATATGCAAGCTTTGAAGACTCGGATAAAAATTCTTCAATATTTTCAACATTCCTAGTCAATATATTCAAAAAAATTTCATAACTTTATAAGGATGTAATATAATAAAATTTCCTAAATAAGATTGTTTATTTGGAAATATTTATATATGTGAATATGGCACGCCGGACTGGACAGATGTTTAAACGTAAAAGCTAAATCATTTGACGTTTAAGGTTAACTGCGAAATTCAAATGATTTGCTGTACCGACAAACTGTTTGACTTTATAGTTAAATTCTTTGCCAATACTGTCAAACAGTTTGGCGATATGAAATAATTTTCCATATTTGGTTAAAATTCAAATGGTGCAATTTAAGTAATAATTTTCTTTTTAAAAGTCTCGTGAAATCCTATTTCCTTTATAGGAAATTTGTTTATAGATTTGCAAATACTTTGGAATTAATGGCAAATGCTTTGGAATTAATGACAAATGGTTTATATTTAACGCCAAATGCTTTGTACTCCAAAGTCAAATGATATGGTGTTAACGTCAAATGATTTAGCTTTTACGTTAAACATCTGTCCAGCCTGGCGTGCCATATGTGAACCCCTAAAAATAAAAATAATAACAGATCATACACGAAATCTTTTTTTTTTTACACTTTAATCACGAACTTTTTTATTGAAAATATGTCCGGGTAGAATAGATGTTTTTTTTAAGTTTTAGTTAATTTCAGTGTATAAAATTTCTCAAATAATGTTTTAAATAAAAATAATCTAAATTTTCAATGTTCGTCGCACATGTCGCACAAATAAAAATTTGATATAACAGAATTTCATGTGATTTATATATAAAATCCGGTATATCGAAATTTTTTGATATATCGGAAGTCTCGATATACCGGATATTTTTACTGGAACGGATGAGTTCCGTTATATCGAATTCACTGTGTATTTACCTTGTCCTTTCACCTACTGTTGTTCATTAAAGTGAAATATAAGAATGAATATAAAAAAATATATAATATGCAGATCGTGCATATACAACATTACTTGTCTCATTATGAACATTTTTATATTTTTAAATTTAATAATGGACATGATTTATTTATTAAATTGATTGATCTTGAAAAACAAGCAATTATTGATGTTTCAAAAATGACTGAAGAGTGGTTAATACTGTATTTTATTATAGAAAGAGTTTTTATTTTTTATAATTATTACTTGGAAAACAAACTGATCTCCTTTGTCAGATTTAAAATAATTACAAATTATACTACTACGATTATTGTACTAAATTTTTAAACCCGGTTTTCATAATTTTTTAACATTAAAGTAGTTCTATAATTTTTTTATTGGAGTATTTATCACTAAAGCAATAAATTATCCGAATGAGGACAGTACAGAATAGAATATAATGAAATTTAAAAGAATGAATTTTTATGTTTAAAAAGTTAACTTAGTCATAACAGGGAGTTTTAAATAGTTCCATATGAGGCAATATTATAAACTAGAAGTAGTAAAAAATAACTAAATATTTATTATTATAAATACTAAAAATAACTATGCAAATAATAAATTTGACCTAAAAAAAATTGAATTCCAAATGATGATACTGAAAATTCTTAGATAATTATTTATTATTATAATTATATTAGTTTTCAAAGAAAAATTTGCTTAATTTATTTAATAAAGAACTGAAGAATTTATTCTAATGTATTTTTTATTTTTTTTCTAAAACAAAATTTTTTCGTAAAGGTATTTTTTTTTTTTTTTTTTTCTAGTTTAATTGATAAAAAAAACTACTTATACTAATTTTGTGAAAAATTCGTCTAATTTTCGTCTAATTTAATAAAAAATTTATCTTATATGAACATTTATCTAACTATTAACTATATAATTTAATGAGGAGAAAATTTATAGTTAAAGCTATTTTAAAAGAAGATTCTACCTTGTGATCAGTAAATTCGCTTATTTGTTAATCATTTTTTTCCCTTTTTTTGGTTAGGTTATTGTTAACAAACCATTTTTTTCCACAATTTTATTTTTTCTTTTTTTGGTTGGGCTGTATTTTACCATTTTACCGAACCAATTTTTTTCTATTTTTTTTTTGCCTTTTTTTTCCTTTTTTACTTTTTTTGGTTAAATTGACTTTTACCTTGCCGCGATACTTTTTTTTTCCAATAATAAAAATCGCACAGACATTGTTAAATATTTATTTTTTTTTAATAAATAATAATAAAAATAATGGAGAAATTTGTTTTTTGTAAAACCCATAATGAAAAATTTTAAATGACCATATAGTTCGCCAAACCATTAACCATTAATAAATCCACCATCAAGTCCTTTTGATTTGATTGGATGGCATGTTTTTTTTTTCTTTAAAAAAAGTATCTAAAGAAGCACAAAAAAAGAGATTTGAATATATATATATTAACAAAAAAAAATTATCAATTATAATAAAAAATCCTATTTCTATTGTATTTTTTTAATATTTAGTTAGTAGTTTGAAAAAAATTCCTTCGTAAATGATGATAGGACCCAGAAATATATATATAAGGGTCAGGTTTGAGTTTGCGTATTCTGAACTAAAAAAAAATCATGAAAATCTTTCCTTTTTTAGATAATTTTGATAATGCCAGTCAGAATTTTATTTCCTATTATAGTAATCGACTGACATTATCATAATTCCGGCCCTAAAAAAATGCGTACAGCTCATAGTAAAAAATTTTTTCATCACCTGACCCCTATATATATATATTTCTGGGTCCTATGATGATCCATTTTAGTTTGAAAAAAATCTTAGTTAATTATTTATTATTCAATTATTACGATTCTATTTTTATTATTATTAATTGCAATTAATTTCGTAATTATTCACCAAATCATTTTTTTTAAAAAAAAAAAAAAAAAATTTCGTATCTGTTGATCACTTTGACAAAAAA